CATATAGAAAACAATACGGCATAGGGCTTATTTTAATATTAATATAGGGCACACGCGTGTGTTTGGAACTAAATATAAGCATTTTCATCGTGGTTTTATTTATTACAATTCTCAAGTTTTGGGACTATTATGTTTTTAAATAACTTAGAAGGCAAAGGAGGGTTAGCACAAGCTTCAACCCTAACAAATGCGCGCGAAAATTTTTTTTGTGCTTTTTATTCTAATTTCGTCGGAATTGATCAAAACTCCCTAATTGTGCAATTTTTAGAGGAAATTGGCCTACCTCAACAAGAAATGCTCTTATGTTATATATGGCCACACTCGTTTTTTTTAAAAAAACTGAATATAAGTATTTTCCTTATGGCTTTATTTATTACAAACATATTCTTTCAACATCATTACACATTGAGGCCCTTTTTTAATAGGTTAAACGATCTATCTTAAATTTTCTTTCTGAGTTTGAGACTATGTGTTATAACTTAGAAGGCAAAGGTGAGCAAGCACAAGCTTTAACATAAAAAATGCGCGCGAAGCGCGCGAAAAATGTTTGTTTTTTAAATTATAATTTCGTTGGAATTGATCAAAACTCCCTAAAATGTGCAATTTTTAGAGGAAATTGGCCTACTTCAACAAAATATGCGATTTAAAATTTGAGATTTTCAGGCACTTTCCCGGGTGAAAAGGGCATTCAATGGGGAAAGACTTTCCACAGCTGGATATTTTCCCCTTGTCCCCTGGTTATTACGCCACTGCGGAGAATACCTTGCGGCTTAGATCAAATGCGCTATTGACACTTTTTGAACTGGAGAATGGGTTGCAGGCAGGGGTATTGTGATATCTGTTCATTATATCTTCCTTTTATTCTTGTCTTTATTTTTCTCTTCTCTTTTCCTTTCTCTTTCTTTCCCCTTCTTTCTCTTTCCCTCCCTCTCCCCTCTTTCTTTTCTCTTCTTACCCAGCCAGCCCGGTACGACGGCTTGGTCAGCCCGGTAAAAACCGCTGTCTCTTATACTGCCCCTGCCCCGCCTGTTACGCCACTGTTTATAAGATGAATGGGAATATGAATCATGCAGATCTGGAATCAAATCTAGGTGGTGGGGTCAACATTCCTCCCAAGGGAAAATTTCGATTTCTAGATCGCGGGAAATGAGCTTTCCCGACTTCTGAGGTGTCTTTTAATTACTTTTTTGTTCTTCAAAATTCAATGTTTTCCCATCTTGAAAACGGTCTGGTAATTTTTCCCATTGTTATTACAGTAAATAGGGCTTATGTTTTTATACATACATAACAATTTTAAAAAAAAATGAGTAGTTGCATACGAATTTTCCATGAATCGATGAATCCTAAAAAGAAAGGGGGGTCCGGGGGTTCTTCCCCAGGAAAATTTTGATTCCTAGAAGGCGGGAAATGAACTTTCCCGACTTCTGAGGTGTCTTTTAAATTAAAGTCATTAAAAAATACTTCAGAAGTCGGGAAATCTCATTGTTCACCATTTAGAAATCAACATTCCCC